CCCAATATTTCAAATACATTAACATGCAAAGTTTGCTCAATTTCATGCTTTCCCCCCAGAAATATAAAAAGCATTAAAAGTGGGGATGTGAGAACTCACCTGTTTTGCGATTATCCGAATGATTCCTTTAAGGACTTGCTATGCTCGCTCGCACTTCCTGACAGACCAACCAGCGCTATATTACTTACGGTTTTTCCTTGGCTAAGGTAGAGCAAGATTGTTCTAAATGCAAGGTCATCAAGTGTTTTTATAAAATAAAGCCGATTTAATTATTTATTAAAAAGGAACCTTCCAAAAATCCAAATAATGACATCATTAAATGTCATCCCAAAACAAATGATGGCTGCAGCCAATTACCAAAACCAAGAGGTTTTGAGTGGGTTTAACACTCTTTTCAAGATTAATTCACAATTCTTAAGCCACACGCCTTCATCACCGATTGCATGTAGCTCAATATTCCCAGGAATTAAAAAGTGTCTAACACAAAACTACCATCTTTAAACAACTTCCAGAAAACAAAAATATATTCCGATTCCAACAAGTTTTCAAAGGGATAAATCCGTTTAAAGTTGCATGCAAGACCTATCATCCACAAATGTGATCGAACCTCTCATGCAAGGAATTTTTCTTTCTTTAGGGACTAAGAATCTTGGATCACAGATTATCATTCCAGCGAAGACACATGCAGGTCTTGGATGCATAATCTCTCCTCTTTACAATCCCAAAAATTTTACTTAAAGAATCGAGTAGACAGAAGAATAACGACTTTCGGATATCTAAAAGAAAATAGAACAGCATTAAAAACATACCTTTTCTTGATAAAAAGACACGAACAGGTCTTCAAGAACAGCAAAAGTCCTTGAGTTTTGCAAGGAGATGGAATCGGTTGACAAGTGATGGAATTAGAGAGAGAGAGAGATGAAATGGCTGGAAATTTGGAAAGTGAAGATCTTTCAAAAGGGAAGGGGGTATTTATATGTGGATTCAATGAAAAGAATGGGCTGACCTCTAAAGGCCTAAGCCCAAAAATACTTTTTAATTACAACTAAAAGACCCCAATAAATACAACATAACATTTTTGACAAAAGATTTAAATACCCTTCTTCCAAGTTAATAATTGGCAACCAAATATAAAAGATTGGAACTTTGGAATTTTGAATTTTAAAAAGAATGAAACGAAAATATCGACTTTATTTTTATGTGAAATGTTTAAAATTTTTATTTTACATTGCACGAACTAACTTGGTTAGCTACCCGCCGAAATGTGGTCTAATCAGACTAATTAAACAAGACGATCTCTGGTCAACAAGGCTAAATCTTAAAAGACTTAGTTTTCAATAAAGGCCCTAAAATGGAATACTAACCTGAAATTCCAAAATGCAGAGTTGTCACAGTCAGAAATAATGGACAATGGAACACCATGTCTGGTTACAATTTCCTTGATGTATAATTGAGCTAACCTTTCCAATAAATAAGTCTCTTTCATTGGTAGGAAATGTGCAGACTTTGATAGAC